TTCACTGCAAGACGCCAATTTTATGTTTTAGATTTTTTCTCTCAAGTTTTCTTTTATATATAGGGGAAATGACGGCTTCGGCATGACAGACTATTTTCGGCAACCCAAATTGAAACACTATTTTCACTGGATTTTCTTACGAAAACACTTCGCTGAATGCATACAAACGATTCTTTATGCTTTCAGCTTCAATTTGACTATATGTTTACCACTGAGAAAAAGCAATCTAGCAAGGTTTTCTTGAAATGCAACACACGCACTACAAATTGTAGCTGATTTCGAGTTGCCGATAATAGAACAGCAGATTTACATGCAGTTCAAATGGAACTGTTGCCGAAGAAAAACTGGTTGCCGACAATACTCGCTCTCACTAGAGAAGATTGGAGCTTTGTAAAAGCGTTTCAAAACAGTTTTTGACAATTCTTTCGACTGAAATTGTTAGAGCAGCTGGCAGCAAAAGATTGTAAACAAACCAATACTGCATATGTGTGCTTTCCATAGAGAAAAAGGCTATAGAAAGAATGTCGCTGCTTAGGTTGCCGAGAATACGTAAATTCCCCTATATGATTCTTGAAATCGAAAATCTTGCTTTTTTAGCATGACCATTAATGACCGTACAGATCGTACCACGATTGACCAGATCCAGCGAAATTTGTACAAAGAATCAAATTAATGGGGTTTGGGATTAGCTATTATTGTACAAAACCCGGTGAATCAGTACTTTTAAGGTCAATAATGGTGCATCAGGGAGGGAAAGGATTGTTAGTTCGACACCCATTGTTACTGAAGACCTAGAATACCTCTGCATCTCCATGGTTGTCACGTGATGCGATCTTTTAAAGCATGGTAAGGTAATTATGTGACCTTATCAACTCAGGAAGCAAAAACGGTCGCCACTAGGCCATCGTACCCCATAAATCATAACAATCCTCTAAGACCGTCGATCGTTCAAACCCGAGGACAAGAAGCTATTCAACTCAAATGTGACTCTTGACACACCATTGTTCTTATATATTCTGTCATTGATCTTATTTTTGAATTCTGATCTAATTTGATTAGTCGAATGATGGGTTTTGGACCTAATCAAGAACTGGCCACTGCCTCGGGGGTACATTTTTCACATATATATATATTCCGTGATATTACATGTTCAGGTGCTCAGGGCAATCAAGAGTTGGGACAAACTGATTTGATGTATCATTTCAATTGTGTCAAACCTCTTAACGGAATCTCTTTATGAAGACACACTCTAGTAGTAAAATTCTTCTTTATTTGTGATTTGTTACGTGGCTTACAATTGCTAATACAAGGCAAGAGGTTAGCCATAAGGGCTCTTCATCTTTGGTGAAATTTTTGATTTTTTGTTTGTACATGTCGTGTTTTACTATTGTAATGTTTTACATTTCTCTTCTTGTGGAGAATGTTTGATTAAAATGTTTAAAATTTGTTATTCTACCTACTTAATCTAACTTAGCTTAACCTAACCTAACGTGCCATATCCCTGATGATGTGTTGATCGACTCGCCTACAGCAATCTCTGAACGTAGCGATCGAGTCAGCTCTCCGTAACTCCAGTGTCTAAAAACCAGGCAGGAGGCGGTGGACCTCAGAGTTTCTAGTCAGATTTGCTGAAACTTCTCAAACTCACTGGAGGTTTTAAAACATTCTTGTCCTGCGAGTGGCGGCAGGAATATGGAAGAAGTAAACAAAAACTCCTCGAGAGAGGGAGGGAAAGTGAACTTCAGCGAGAGGGTGATTTGACGTGAGGTGCGCTTTTCGAGACTCCGGATGGCTTTTTTGTTCGACGCAAGAAGCTCAGAGTTCACCTAGAGTGAGAGTAAGAGCGTGTAATAGAAAACATGAACATGAATGGCAGCACCTCACTCTCATTTTATCCTCCTTCGCTCACAAGCTCTGAAGCTCAGTGGAATGATTTGGCAGTAGGCATTCTACTCCTCAGAAAAATGCTACGCTCGGTTCATTTCAAACTCGCGAGCGAGGTTCCATCAAGCCTGTTTCTAGTCCGCGATGGACTATTGACGATCATTCTCACCCAAGTAACCAAAAGTTCTACATTCAACGATTAAAATCACTTCCAAGTTCCATAAAGTTCAAATTAAGTTCCGACCGAACCTTCAAGTTCCATAAAGTTCCATAAGTTCCGACAGAACTTTCAAGCCACATGAAGCAATTCGCACTTAAGTCTTTATTAGTAACAAAATTTAATGTACATAAATATGAAATGATCAGTGGCCCGAATAAATCTAAACATTAAAAAATTAAAAATTAATTTCCTGGATTGGAACCCGTGTATTCGGCATTCTATCTACGATTGCTAACCACTGCGCCACAAGTGTGATGGAATACCATGCGTGTAAACACCAACTTAAAATTCATCAAGGTGTTGTGTTTCGTATTCAAGTCAGTCAGCTGGCTCAGAAAACTCCAACAATAGGCGGGACAACAGCTCACTGTAATATATTTCAGATGACGTAGCGGTTTGTGCTCAGGACTGGGTTTAATTCTTCAAACTACTACGTTAACTACGTTACTACTACTAATGCTGATAAATGAATACACATAAATACCTGTGTTCGCGTACGAATATACTAGCGCCGCCTAGTTGTCGAAAATGATCATCACCCTTAATAAAGATCCCTCGTTCGTCGAGTTTCTACGAGTTGTCGTCCCAACAAGATGTCATCCCCGCTGTCGTCCCAACGGAGCAGAGTAACTCATGCAGCATAGTGTTGTCGTTTGTTTACTTCCTTTTTCCGCCGCCGATGAATAGCCCCGTTGTATAAAAGGACCATCCCGCATGGGAAAAACTCTCTTTTTCTCGACTACGACAACGAGGACGAAACCGATTGTGAAGAACCAAAATGAACCAAGTCCATAGTTTGTAAAATATTGAAATTAAGTGAAATTAAGTAAAATAAAAGTGGATTGTCTTAGTTTGAAGTAAAAGTAAAATGAATTGAACTGCAAATAAAGTGAATGAAGTGAAACGAAGTAAAATTTAATAAATGAACTGAACTAAACAGAAGATTGAGTGATCTGTGAAGAAAGTGCCCGAAGTAAATTGAAACCTCTACTGCTCTCTACTTTGATATCGACATCTGGTCCTTCGAGCCGGATCGGCCGATGAACTCCGGTCATCTGGAATCTTTCACGCCCGTGAAACCACCATCTTTGGAGCTACTGCCTGGCCACGCCTGGAAGTCCCGAGAACCTTCGAGTTGCTGCTGAAACATTTAATACAAGGCACATAGACTGCCTCGAGGAGGTAATTATATTTCCACTTCTCTACACCCTGTCCCATTTGTGCTCCGCGGTGCTTTCGATTCCACAGATCAAACCCCATACTATTCCCCGTCGCCATGTCCACGGATCGCCGCTTGAAAACGCTCAAACTTCGCATGAAGAGCCTGCAGACGTCCTTCATGCTTACTAAAACTTTTGTGGATAAATATGTCGACGAACAACATTCCTTAGAAGTCCCAGTACGCTTGGAGAGCCTTACGAAGCTGTGGACTGATTTCTGCGCTGTGCAGTCTGAGCTGGAAACTATCGACGAGGCCGGCATCGAACAACTTCTGAAGGATCGAGCCAGCTACGAATCGTCGTACTATAAGGTTAAGGGTTTCCTCCTGTCCGTCAATAAACTGACACCTCCTTCCCCGACACCTACCGCTTCGACTTCTCATTCGAACTTCCAAGGTCCTACGTCATCCCATGTGCGCCTACCGGATATAAAACTGCCTGTCTTCAGTGGGAATTTGGATTATTGGATGAACTTTCACGACCTGTACATGTCCTTGGTTCACTCTTCAGCGGAACTCTCGAACATTCAAAAATTTTATTACCTGCGTTCTTCCCTCTCTGGCGACGCCCTCAAACTTGTACAGACGATCCCTATTACTGCAGCGAACTACTCCGTAGCCTGGAATTTGCTTGAGGAGCATTTCCAGAACAAACCCCGATTGAAGCAGTCGTATCTCAACGCTTTGTTCGAGTTTTCCACCCTCAAACGTGAGTCAGCGGCAGACTTACATGCACTCGTAGAGAGATTCGAGTCCAACGTGAAGGTGCTTCAGCAGTTAGGAGAGAAAACGGAATTCTGGGATCTTATTCTCATTCGTATGCTCAGCGTTCGTCTCGATGCCACAACTCGTCGTGATTGGGAGGAATTTTCATCAGCAAAGGACGATGTCTCGTTCAAGGACCTCACCAGCTTCATTCAGAGGAGAGTATCCGTCCTCCAAACGCTTCACGGAAAAGGCGTAGAAACTCCGCCGTCGTCATCGTCGTACAGTCAGCCGAAGAAGTTCACCCAACGCCCGGCGGCATGTCACACCGTCAGCCACGTCAGCACCGATCGAAAATGCTCTATTTGCTCTGAACATCACCCACTCTATATGTGCCCCACGTTCTCGAATTTGGCCATCGAGGACAAGGAAAAAGAAATCCGTCGACTGCAGCTCTGTAGAAACTGTCTACGCAAGGGTCACTTGGTACGAGAATGCCCGTCGTCCAGTTCCTGTCGAAAATGCAAAAACCGTCATCACACTCAACTTTGCCATGGAGAAACGTCAACAGGCGCGAACCATCATCCTACAACATCGAAAACAACAACAACTCACACTACGGAGGAACAGCCACGAACATCAGCCTCTGTGACCGTCACCGAGCTACCTAACTACGCCGCAACCGAATGTAAACAAACCACTGTCCTCCTCGCTACCGCTGTCGTCCTCTTCGTCGATGATAATGGAAGGGAGCATGCAGTGAGAGCTCTTCTAGACTCGGGAAGCGAATGTTGTTTTGTTTCAGAGCGATTCCTCCAAACCGTCACAGTCCAACGAAAAAGGGTTTCCGTCCCGATCTCTGGTATCGGCGAATCGACGGTCAACGCTAAGTTTACAGTTCCCTCCCACATCCGATCAAGAGTCTGTAACTACTCCACCACCGTTGAATGCTTGGTTCTTCCACGTTTGACTATGGACTTACCATCCACCTCCGTCGATGCTTCTACTTGGAGCATTCCACCCGGAATCCAGCTTGCTGACCCAACTTTCCACAGCCGCAAATCAATCGATCTAGTACTAGGCGCAGAGGTCTTCTACGACATCTTCCATGTCTCGGGTCGAATTCGAATTGGCGATGCACTTCCACCTCTCATCAATTCCACGCTCGGTTGGGTGGTTTCTGGAAGAGCCTCCAGTCCACAACCGAAAAGACCACTTGTCGCAAACGTTGCCTCCATCGCCGATCTGTCTCAGATAATGGAACGTTTTTGGACAATCGAAGAAGAAACTTCGTCACCATCCTATTCCGTCGAGGAAGCCGCATGTGAAGCACACTTCCAGCAAACCGTTTCTCGAAATCAGCAAGGTCGATACATCGTTCGCCTACCGGTGAAACCTGACGTCTTAACTTCACTAGGCGACAACCGTCGCACTGCCGTACGAAGATTTCGCATGATACAACAGCGAATGGGAACCGATCCACAACTTCGTATACAGTACGTCGACTTCATGAATGAATACCACGCCTTGGGACACATGCAAAAGGTCGCCGACTACGAAACACCTCCCAAACCTTGCTACCATCTTCCGCACCACGCCGTTGTCCGAGAGGAAAGTACGACCACCAAAGTACGCGTCGTTTTTGATGCGTCGTGTAAAACTAGCCAAGGACGTTCGCTAAACGATGCACTCATGGTGGGACCCATCGTCCAGGAGGAAATGAGGTCCATCATTATGCGATCGAGAACCCGCCGCATCATGTTGGTTGCTGATGCAAAGCAGATGTTTCGTCAGATTCTGGTTGATGAACGCGACACCCCGTTGCTGCGCATTGTATGGCAAATTTCTCCCGACTTACCCTTGGACACGTACGAATTGAAAACGGTAACCTATGGGACAGCATGCGCACCTTTTCTAGCCACAAGAGTTCTACAACAGTTGGCTGACGACGAGCAAGACAACTTTCCCCGAGCTGCCGAAGTACTGCGAAAGGATTTCTATGTAGACGACCTTTTCTCCGGAGCAGACAGCGAAGAAGAAGCCATCGAACTTCGTGAACAGCTCGACACTCTTCTTTCCAAGGGAGGATTTACCCTACGCAAATGGGCCTCCAACATTCCTGCAGTTCTCCATGATGTCTCTCCCGATAATCGAGCACTACAACCATCTGTAGATTTCGATCGTGACCAATGCATAAAGACGCTGGGACTGCATTGGGAACCCTCTACCGATTGCCTCCGCTATCGTATTTGTCTCTCCCCCGACCCTGTAGAAGCTACCATCACCAAACGAACAGTGCTCTCTAAAATTGCACGACTTTTCGATCCGATTGGATTAGTCGGACCTGTGGTAACATCGGCAAAACTCTTTATGCAAGAGCTGTGGACGCTGAAAAACAACAACGGTGAAGCCTGGGGCTGGGACGAGGAATTACCAGCAGCGATCAAGGAGCGTTGGCTGGCCTACTGTGAACAACTACCTCGGCTTAATGACCTGCGAATCGAGCGATGGGTCATCTGTTCTACACCGACGTCGATCCAACTGCATTTCTTTTCAGACGCTTCAAAGAATGCATATGGTGCATGCTGTTATATTCGTTCAGCAAACTCTTCCGGCACCATAAAGGTCGCACTACTAACAGCACGATCTAGAGTTGCACCTCTTAAGCAGCAAAGCATCCCCCGCTTGGAGTTGTGCGGAGCCCTCCTCGCAACAGAACTGTTCCAGAAGGTCAGAGCATCACTGAACCACACCGGCGAAGTCTACTTTTGGGTGGACTCAACAATCGTACTCAGCTGGCTGAAAGCACCACCTACAACTTGGGTTACATTCGTCGCCAACCGCGTCTCAAAAATACAACAAGCTACTCAGCACTGTGCTTGGAATCATGTCGTTGGTCAACTCAACCCAGCGGACTGCATTTCCCGAGGAACAGAGGTGGAAACCATCCTGCACAACGACCTGTGGTGGAGCGGACCACCATGGCTGCATCTCGAACCCTCTTCATGGCCCAACCAGCTGACGAGCAATATTACAAACGAAATTGCGCTTCCCGAAGCACGCAAACTACCACTGGCAGCGACTGCAATAACCACCGAGCCTTCGTTCGTCGATGTACTAGTGAGCAAGTTTTCGAACTACTTCCGTCTTCTACGCGTCGTCGCATATTGTCGCCGGTTCATACGGAACTGCAAGCCATCTGCACAAACAACACATTCCTTCCTCAGCTCAGAAGAACTTGGAGAAGCCGAAGCTACCGTCATCCGATTGGTCCAGCAACAGTCCTACAACGAAGAATGGAAAACTCTACAAAAATTACAACCAGTTTCGCTCAAATCCAAACTCCGTTGGTTTCAACCCTTTATCGAAAGCGATCAACTAATGAGAATCGGCGGCCGCCTAAATCAAGCCCCTCAACCTTTCGATAGTAAGCACCAAATTATCCTGCCAGCAAAGCACGGCTTGTCCACTCTTCTACTTCGTTCGCTGCATGAAAAGCATCTGCACGCCGCCCCTCAGCTTCTGGTCAATATCCTCCGCCTGCGATACTGGATCACAGGGGCCAGAAACCTGGCAAAAACTATCGTCCACAATTGCGTCACCTGTGTAAGAGCCCGTCCAAAACTGCTGCAGCAGTTTATGTCAGAGCTACCTGCCTCACGAGTTACAGCAAGCAGACCATTTTCCATCACCGGCATCGATTACTGGGGTCCAATTTCACTCCAACCCCCACACCGTCGCGCCGCTCCCAGAAAGGCTTACGTCGCGGTGTTTGTTTGTTTCTCGACTCGGGCGGTACATTTGGAACTGGTTGCCGATTTGACTACCGCCAAGTTCTTGCAGGCTCTCAGACGTTTCGTAGCACGACGAGGACTTTGCAACGAAATCTATTCCGACAACGGGCGGAATTTCATCGGTGCAGCTAACGAGCTACGCAAAATGATCCAAAGCAAGGAACACCATAGAGCCATCGCAGACGAATGTGCATTCCACGGCATCCGATGGCGCTTCAACCCTCCCAAGGCATCACACTTTGGTGGTCTGTGGGAGGCAGCAATCCAATCCGCGCAGAAGCATTTTGTGCGGGTTCTTGGCACTAGCACACTCGCTCACGACGACATGGAGACGCTGTTGTCGCAGATAGAATGCTGCTTAAACTCACGCCCGATTATCCCTCTGAGCGACGATCCGACAGATTACGACGTGCTTACTCCTGGACACTTTTTGATCGGGTCTGCGCTCAAATCTGTTCCAGACGTTGATGTCTCCGAAATCCCAAGCAACCGATTAGCCAAGTGGCAGCAAATCCAGAAGAACTTCCAAATCATCTGGAAGAGGTGGCACTTGGAGTACTTAGCCACCTTGCAACCGAGAACGAAGTGGTGCAATCCGCCAATCGTATTGGAGAAGGGTCAACTAGTCCTCCTTATGGACGAAAAAACTCCGCCTATGGCCTGGCCAACAGCGAGGATCGTAGAATTACATCCTGGAGCAGACGGAAACACACGGGTGGTCACTCTCCGCACCGCCCACGGCACCTACACTCGCCCCGTTAGCAAGATTTGCTTACTGCCGATTCCATCATCCAACGAGAAATCATCAAAACAAACCATTCGTCCAGAAGCAGAATCAAAACACCAACAATAAGTCATCGTTTCAACCAATTCCGTCACCGATGTTGCACTGGTTTCCATCCGGAGTCACCTGAAATTATAAAAATACAAGGCCCTAATTAATTAGGGACAAGGTAAGCCCCTGTCCAAGAAATTATATCCGTAAAACCCCTCTACCGGGTCTTCTATTTTCCATAATATCAATTCGCTGCCGGACTGGATCATCTTCTATCGCCTGACGAGAGTAAACATCGAGGAAGAGTAAACGTCATCCGCCAACGTCAATCATCACCAGCACGGGAGCAACAACAACAACATGCCATCAGAAATAGTGATTTCTGAAGGGGCCAGGATGTTCGCGTACGAATATACTAGCGCCGCCTAGTTGTCGAAAATGATCATCACCCTTAATAAAGATCCCTCGTTCGTCGAGTTTCTACGAGTTGTCGTCCCAACAAGATGTCATCCCCGCTGTCGTCCCAACGGAGCAGAGTAACTCATGCAGCATAGTGTTGTCGTTTGTTTACTTCCTTTTTCCGCCGCCGATGAATAGCCCCGTTGTATAAAAGGACCATCCCGCATGGGAAAAACTCTCTTTTTCTCGACTACGACAACGAGGACGAAACCGATTGTGAAGAACCAAAATGAACCAAGTCCATAGTTTGTAAAATATTGAAATTAAGTGAAATTAAGTAAAATAAAAGTGGATTGTCTTAGTTTGAAGTAAAAGTAAAATGAATTGAACTGCAAATAAAGTGAATGAAGTGAAACGAAGTAAAATTTAATAAATGAACTGAACTAAACAGAAGATTGAGTGATCTGTGAAGAAAGTGCCCGAAGTAAATTGAAACCTCTACTGCTCTCTACTTTGATATCGACATCTGAAGCGGCGATCCGTCTTTAGAAATAATTTCATAAAAGTGCGAACTAAATATAGAATTGGTGTAGAGGACAAAAACCATCTTTAATTTATTTTCCAAAAGTTCCGTTCAAGTTCCGCCAGAGGCTGCTTACCCAAAAAACAATTTTGGTTTTATGAGGGTTCTGTAGGTTCTGTGGACTTATAGAATGCTATAAAACCTCTATAAAGCTTGCTATGTTACTTGGGTAGAATGCTCTTCAATTATGGTACCGGAACTTTCAAGTTCTTTTAACGACTTAAAAATGAGGCTGCTTAGAATTCTATAAACCACCTTCAACCAAGCTGCTTAAGCCACAAATAGCCTTTTATCAGAACTTTTGGTTACTTGGGCAGGATCTTATTCTGGGTCCTTTGTAATTTGAGATGGTGGCCTTTTACGCAACTCTCCCAGATTGGCATCCCGTATTCTATTACGGGAAGGATGATTCGTTTGTAGACAGCAAGCTTATTTTTCAGGGACAGGGTAGACCTCCTGTTGATGAGTGGATACAATGCACAGTGGTCCAGAATGCAGATTTAGGTGGAATGATATGTTTTGAACCTGAAATTGAAACTTTAGACTAAAAGTCTCTTGTACAAAGTTGTTCCGTATAGTTAGGCCCTCATTTTTATGACAATGAATTCTAGGGTGGTTCCTATTATCATTAAAATCAAAAATCTAACTTTTTTGTTTGAATAAATTAAGGTATACATTCTTCGGCAAAGTTATACCTGAGCTAATTTCAAGGCACTTTGTTGCCAATTTAAGTGATACAAAAAAGTTATTTTCCACAGAGTTGCTTGGGAGCACGAAAGTCAGCTTGCTGTCTATTGTTAGGCCTAGGTAGACTACCTCTTTCGACCATTACACCACTGTGTCGTTCAGCCAGATCTTATTATTCTCCGACGGAACAAGTCTGGGAAATTTAGCGTGTGGAAAGATGATGACCTGGGTCTTTGCCGCGTTGATACGGATCTTCCAGTTGTTGAAATATTCAGACAGGACGTCCAGGCCTCTCTGAAGTTTGGCAGTCAGAGCTCCGATTACCCTACCCTTGTAGACAATGGATGTGTGTCATCTGCGAACAGAAACAACAATCCACCATCAGGGAGAGCCGGCATATCGGAGATGAAAAGGTTGAATAGAATGGGGCCAAGGATGCTTCCTTGTGGAACCCCGGCACCAATGTTGAAAGCATCCGATGTGATTCTATTCAGAGAAACTCAGAACATCCTGTCCGATAGATAGTTGATTATTATCTTCACTAGGAAGATTGGAAGACCGTACTGCAATTTGAACTGAAGACACACTCAAAAAGCTCTTCATGATTTGGTGTATTTTTCATCGTTCTCAAGAACAAAATTCATGACTACGCCATACCATATGATATAATTAAGCATTAAAAGTGCCTATTACGTAATGGAGTAAGATCATTCCGAAAATGTCTAGCACCTAGGACTGTTCATGAGCTACGTAGACCGAATTTGAGAGGTTTTAGACCACGCCCTTATCCCACTTAGACAATCGTGCAAACAAATTTCCAGAAAAATGTACTGATCGTACACACTTGCCAAACCTGCCAATCGTGTAGTATATACGTGGTTTATGAACAGTCCCTTTGAACTACCCGGCTAAGAAGTACTATCCACATCTTAGACACAAAAAATGTAATATTGTATGTAAAGTAGGTTTGCTAAAGCTGATTTTCACAACTGTTATCTGTAAATTTTATGACAAATGGTCGAAAGACATAACGTTGAATGACAATAGGCCGGAAGGGGCAAAAGGTCGAAAGGAGAAAAGGTCGAATGGAAGAAAGGTCGAATGATGAGAAGGGGGACAAAAGGTCGGATTACGCGAAGGGAGACAAAAGGTCGAATGGACAAAAGTTCGAATGATGTGAAGAGGGATAAAAATTCGAATAAACAAATAGTCGAATGGTTAAAAAACGGACAAAAGGTCAAATGATGAGAAGAGGAACAAAAAGTCGAATGGCCAATTGGTCGAATGGTTCAAAAAGGGACAAAAGGTTGAGTGGATAATAGGTCAGTGGACAAATTCTATCTGATGAAAAAAAAAAATCCAATACGCCATTTTGACGATTTTTGCGAGAAGGCCAAATTTATTTTTTTTATATTATTCGTTCCATTTCAAGTATTTATTATTGCTTGATTATTGATTATACCTGCTTCTCCGATTGACGTAAAACTAAGCATTATTGTGTGTTGTGGGCAATCATTTGCATTTTTTTAAAACTTCGGCCATTTTGATTTTTTTCTTTTTTTTCAAAATGGCACCTTGGTAATTTTTAAATAAATTGTTGCACAGAAACGTCACTTCTAATCGAAACGACTAAGTTGTAGAAACAAATTTAGTTTGTCAGGGAAAATTAAACATGGTATTTATTTAGAAATCTTTAATAAAAATTAAAAAAATGGTTTGAAACTCAGATATCACAAAAAGTACAGTAAACCTGACTACGCCCTAGAGTATTTATAAGTCAAATCGTATACTCGGCGGAGCTGGTGTGAGAATTTAAAACTGAGCTGATATAGGTTTGACAGAAACCTTTCATCTAGTCGAGATATCGACTTAAGCAAGCCATTAGTATCAAATGGCACTAGTGGTTAGTGATTTTTTCGAGTGAGATACGATAGGTCTTGTCTTTCAGTGAGTGAATTCTTAACTGATCTGTGATTTACACCATCTAATAAATCTCTTTCACTTTCACAACTTTCCCAAAGACAGAAACCTTCAAGATGTCAAGTTAAGCAAATAATTTATTAGTGCCACCTGGAAGACGAATGCTGAACACAACTGTTCACCTTCCAATAGGGCACATACATCTGAACAGCTTTGATGAAGACCGCACCCCAGTGATGTCATGGTAAATTTGGAACTGATTACTCATTTAGAATTACCCTTTACGCCCTGGTAGGAAATAAAGAAATTTTTTCCCAATAACTACAATGATATCACTGAATATTTCACTTAATGATGTGAAAGTGGGATTACTCACTAAGTGAGTAAAATTTTCCTCAAAAACCTGCTCCAATATGACGGTTGATAACTCAATACCTGAGGCGAAATCATCGAACAATTGCATTACATTGCACCATTGGGCACTGGATACCCGTTTAACAAATTCAACGTGAGCACCGTTTGAATGTAATTCCAGCTGTTCAACGGGGATCTACGGTATTCTAAAAGCTTTTCCTAGAAAATGAGGAAAAAATTACTCATTCACTAAGTAACCCTTTTTTTTTAGCAAATTAGTCAAATTAAGTCAAATTCCACTCAATTTGGAATGAATCTCATTGACCGTGTACTAGTGTATTTTATTTTATTTAGTTTTATTTTAACTAAAAGTTTGTTCAAATGTAAATAGTTTACATATGATAAGTTACTGTAATCTTTATACCACACGAATCCTACACCAATTCTGAATCAAAGGATGTGAAAAGAATTTAAATCCATCAATAAATGGCCAAATTATAAGCGTTTAGAACCTAACACTATTTCGTTACACAATTTTTTGATTTGCACCCCCGTATAGCACGTCAAAAAAAAAGATACTTTTGCGAGAAAGCTGAGCACAGTCAGCCACTCACACAGGTTTGCATGGCATGTATTATTTTATATAAAGCTTTGTGGATCACGTTGGGCAACATTGATTTTCTAAATCAAGCGTTTTTTGCAACATATGATGGTGCAAATCGCAATATTTGGCGTGTTTCATTTTAAGATTTTTTTTTCTAATTCTGTGAGTGGTTTGCTCGATTAGCAAAGAGTAGGCCCTTAAGCCGAAGTAGTTATCTCCTCTTTCTTAAAAGTATGGGAATATACGTATTCTTGTCAATCTAAGCAGCGTCCGCGCTTGTGTGAACATTCTCTCAGCGTCACGCACACGTAGCTGTTATTTTGTTTTAGCATTTATTCGCTGCTTGATGCTCTATTCATTCCAATCGATAAAATTTGCCAAAACTGTTGTAAGATATTTTAATAACCCTCCAAACTTCTCAGGTGAGAGTGACTATCGTCGGCAACCTCTTTTTCTTCGGCAACCTTTCCATTTGAACTGCAGTTTAACTAGATATTCTATCATCGGCAACTGAAAAACAGTGTAGTGCGT